AGCAAGAGCACCAACAACAGAAGCAATAACAACAGCACCACCACCACCACTACTACCACCACTCAATAACAAGAACAGCAACAGCACCACCAGCAGCAGCAATAACAAAGCAGCAAGAGCACCAACAAAAGCAGCTATAACAACAGCAGCAACAACAACAACAGCAACAGCAACAGCACCACCAGCAACAACAATAACAACAACAGCAGCAACAGAAGTGGCATATGCAAGAGCCATCACGAGCCAGCAGAGGTAGCAGTTATATCAGAAAGAGCAACAACAGCAACATTATACCTCAGTGCTTCTTTAAGCATCTTTTCAGCCTTCTCCAATTTATTTYGTTTTCTGCGGGAAAAGATAATTCATAGGTTTTGAAACTTGAAATTACTTGATTAACTTTTAATTAAAAATCGCAAATACAGCAATTTGTACTTACGCATAACGTACACCAAGATTGAAATATGAATTAGCATGCATTGGGTCATATTTGATGGCTAATTTAAAGTGTCTGATGGCTTCCTAGCAGAAAAAATACATTTTTGTGTTCAGATTTAAACTGATTATGATAAAAACCTTTTGCTGTTAGATATATGTTCAGTTGCAGTTACATCAGTTGAGAGCTGTGCTGTGCTGTGCTGTGCTATGGTTTGGTGTGCTCTACTGCTGTTCTGTGTTGTGTTATGGTGTACTGTGTTGCACTTTACTATCCTATGTACAGAAGATATAACTAGCTAAAAACTAGTGTGAGCTGCGTCGGTGTTTCTAATGAAACAGTAATGATAAAAAGGTGAATTATTCACCGTGAAAAGATGAAAAAACTGACGTTTCGGACRCTAGTCCTTTGTCGGAGTAAAAAGTTTTTACACAGCTGATCACACAAAAACTTTGATTTCTCAAAACATTTTTAATAAAGGTTTTATAATTGCTATGGTTTGGAGATCATACCTCTGTGTTGTTAGTGTAAAGTGTACCAAGATTATTGTGGGCACTCACATGATCTGGCTCTAACCTAAAAAAATTCAAGCATAGCAAAAAATCTAGCCAGTCAAYTTTAGCAGATGAGATTAAACTCATYTGTGAACATGAAGTAAGCAAACAAGTTAAGTAGCAATGATCTCACTGATTAGCCCAGCCATGATGCATTGCCACATACACAGGCCTTGTAGCAAGGAGGGGTGCACCCTACAATTGTAGCAAACTGAACTGCTTTGCCTCAATTACATTTAGCCATATAAATAGTTTTTTTTTTTTCACAATAAACTTACTCTAAACACTTTCTATAGTGCTTGACAGCTTCTTCATCTTTATTCATGTCCTTCAAAAAGTTTCCATAGTTGTAGTGCACTTTGGCATTGTGAGGAAGAGTCTCTACTCCAGACCTGAGAAAGAAAATTATAAATTCCTTATTTTCCTTGATTAACACAAATTTAAGTTTCTGTCAAAAATTAACACAAATGACCCCCCCCCCCCCTTCCCCCCGTGGAGCCTGTGGAGGATTGCGATTTCTGTACTTACCTGAATAATGTTTCTCTGTTTCTCCACACTTCATTTCTTCTTATAGTTTTACAACAAAATAAAATTACGAGTAAAAATAAACCCAAGGTTGCTAGTTTAGCTGACCATCTTGTTTCTCCCTTGGGATTATCATGTTGATATCTGGTGRTTCCAGCTAGTTTGTTTATGCCATGGACAACAAGGAGACAAAATCCTATGCTGCAAGGAAATAATAACTTATCTTAGTTTAGTTATTCAAATTTACTGCAGTAATAATCAAAGATTTACAATCCTCCTCTCCCAATTTCTTCATATTTAGGATTTTAGGACTGTAACATACCTTGGTATGTAAAGAATTCTCTCTGCAACTACAAATCCCACTCTAAAAAATATGTTAGATGCTGGAACAAAWGGCACTGACATCAAGACTAATCCTAAAAGAACTGTCAGCTGATCATCTTCCTGGAAAAGATGTACATCTATTTGGTAAACCATACATAGAAATATTAATAAACAGATTACTGGTAAATCTTCAATAACCGAACTTTATCCTCAACATTATTCACCATTATCATTACCATTAAACAGTGACATGTCATCCTCTTCGATCACTATCATCTTCACTGCCATCATTATACATCATTACCACCAATTCTCATGATCTTCAATGCCACCACCATCATCATCATCGTTACAACCAATCACCACCAACCATCTCCAATATCATCATCATCATCATCATCCTCACCACCCAACATCATTATCATCCATCAACATCATTGCCGACAATGAATAAAGTCATCACCACTATCATCAATAATCACAATCAACATCATTATGTATCCATTTATTAATAGATAAAATGTAGAAATAGTAAATAAAAGATTGAAGCTTGAATACCTGAGCTTTCTTCGAAAACAAGCTATGATARGCTAATAAGCCAATCACAATGAAGAATGCTATGGTTGCTAGGTTACGAGGATCCCAAATAGTTTCAACCAATTGGATGCTTCCACCCTGCCAGTCATAGCTCAGTTTACTTGGAGAGAGAAGAAGCCAGGCGTTAAAAGCATAAAGGAAGGAAAATGTCATGAATCTTGTTGAGAAGGAGTCTGAAAATGATGCAGGATTGTCTTGCTTGATGAACCTTGGAAGACTTCCTCCTAACATCCATATGCGAAACACCATCAGGCAGATCACCTGGATAAACAATGAAACATTCATTCATTTCATTCTGTCACTAGTTTGTTCCTTGGCTCATTTGATCATTCATTTGTTTAATAATTACTTGTTAGTTCATTCATGCAAATGTTCGTTCAATTATTAATCCTACAGCCGTTGACAAAGACATGGGTGCACTTTGCTATACTATGCCCCCCTTTCTAACATCTCAAAAGTGGTTTGCTAAATGGCGTGCTCTGGTCTTTCACTAACTACTCAACATTGATATAAGGAACGAGTGGTGTAAATGATAGTTTTATCAACAGCTTTTGTTATTTATCTTGATTCTGATAGATAAGGCAACAAATGGATATTGATACCAATTCATTCCTTTTATTAAAARCAARCGCACAAATAATAARCTCTATTTRARAATAAAGACAACCCATTCTGATAGATAAGGCAACAAATGGATATTGATACCAATTCATTCCTTTTATTTAAAGCAAGCRCACAAATAATAAACTCTATTTAAAAATAAAGACAAACCAATTTAGTTAAAGTTAATCTTACATTGGGTCATCAAATATAGCACTAACGCTGCTCAGTAGCATAGGGGGGATGGAGAATGGTGGGCATATGCCCTCCCCCTCCCCTTGCGCTTGATGCRCTATGTGCCTGATACTGCTATTTTCTAATTTGGTCCACTTTCATGTTGTATGGTTATTACAGGAAAAAAAATTAAATAATTACCACTGCTGAAAGGGTAACTGTTCTTGAAATAATYGGTTTTAATGACTGTAGAAAATCTGTTGACCAATTACCATTCCARTACAACCTAAACCAAATATTAGAATAAATATGAAGTTATCCTATCAAGCCTAGRCCATAAGCAAGTCATTGTAACTTGAAATCTTATATCTTTTATAATTTTATTTTTATTACCCATTRCTTTCATCCGTTTTTAACCAATACMTTTTCTAACAAAATACAATGTAATAAACTTGATTTTAATTACCTTTTCCACAGTTTGCTAATAACAAAGAAGTCATAAATAACACAGATGCCAAATACAGTGATGCCTTGCTCTTTCACAAGCATAGCAGTACTGCCCAACAGAATACACCCAAGCATGTACAACCATTGTACGGAACTGCTTGACTTTGTAGACGTTGACCTGAAATAGAAAATTAATTCACAGCAACTGTTTTGTGGAGTGTAAAACCCTCAACACCTTTTCAATATAACCACTGTTTTCATCACTATAATAAATGATATAAATAATAAATACAGTAATGGGATTAATATTGGATTCCACAGAGTGGCTCCTCTTTCACTGGATTCCAATTGGAATTTAGAAGTTGATTTTTGCAATTTTTGCAGAGGCAGGAAAGCTGGAAAACCCAGAAAACCCTCAAAGAACAGGAGATAACCAACAAGCAACTCTACTCACATATGACACCAAGCTCAGCAGGATTCAAACCCGGGTCACATTGGAGAGAGGCAAGCACTCTCACCGCTATGTCACCCACGTTTCCCAAAGACTAATAAAGTGCTTGAGACAAAACTTGGTTCACTTACCTCCCACAGTTCCCATAAATCTTTTAGATTTTCCGTTATTAATTCTCAAGTGATATACAGTATATTTATATTTGAKTCATAGTAGTTCACTGTTGATTAATTTGTCATAAAGGACCAAGGACAAAAAAGGTATGTCATGATAAAAGTTGTCCAAGTTGTAGAAACATATGAGATGCATAAAAGTATTTTCAATTTTTCAATCTTTATATATTTGTAATTTATGCAATTCAGTTTGTCGGACTGCAATGTAAATAATGTTATAAACCATCTGCCTATCTAATTAATTTTAAAATGCATGTACTAAACAACAAAAATTTAATAATTAGGTTRCTTTGAAATAAAGATAAACAGGTAAACAAATAGGTAAAAAAAATTTGTGAGATGAGAGATATTTTTTCCCATTTTCCTGTTAACCATTTAAAATAAATTTTTGAAAAATTGCCTTTAATAAAGCCAAGGTTATAAAATTTAAATACCTTATGAAGAACAACAAAGAAAGAAGGAATAAGAGACAAGCAAGAACATCAGCACGCCCTACAACACCTGTCACCTAAAAATTAAAAATTAAAATTAAAAGTTAGGTAAGATTTTATCGAATAATTCTTGATTTAAATTTCTTTAGAGACAACTTTTAGTTCCTTTTGGTACTTACAGCTTCTGTATGGACAGGATGTGAAGCAAAGAGCAGCCCTGCACACACGGCAAGACGAAATGATTTGAAGACGATTTTTTCAGCAAAATAGACGAACAACAAACAGACGAGTGCATGAAGAAAGACATTCACAAGATGAAAACCAAAAGCAGACAAACCATGGACTAAATAGTTCAACCGGAACGTTAAGACACACRCAGGTCTGTAGGACTTATGGCTTAAGTTGCTCGCCATGGGCTTGCCCCAGAAGTCATTCTTAAAGAGGTCAAGAATTGAGGTATTTGCGTGGACATCTTTGTTGTCTTTGATCGCGAAAATATCATCATGAACCAGGTCAAACTCCAGACTATTTAGATAGCATACAAAGGCTAACACTGCAATAACAGCATACCAAAAGCTCTTCTGYAATGCAGGGAGTAGGATATTACATGTGGTTTCCGTATTTTGGGGTATTTCYTGGGTTTCTTGTTCGTACTTTGCTTGTGTTTTGGGAGCGCGCAACTTCAAATTCGCCGCCATATTGAAAATGTAGACCCTTCCCGTGATCCTCCTCCTTATGGTCCTCGTAACACTATATGTCACGCTTTTACGATGTTTGCGTAATTAGTTTTACTTGTAAATTTTACTTGCGTTATGTTTGAATACGCCTCTTCAATTTTATTTTAAGGACAGGAATGTCAATCGTGAGCAATTTGCATAGCTGGAAACGACTGCACATACAGGATTTCCAAGGTCATTGCGTTAAGTGTTTCACTTATCGACAACATTCTTCTGCTGCGCATCAGTTCAAGTRAAAAGAAAAACTCGTCTCCAATTCTAGTAAGTAAATTAAAAGAACTACTACTTAATACATTAAGGATTACAAAGAGATTTTTTCAGTTAATGATGTATTAATTGTACTGTGCGTTACGTACAGTCAGTTAATCGACTATTAACTATGGTACAGTCAAAAGTAATAGGGGGAAGCAAAAGATCAGCCAAAAAAAGTTAAAAATTGCTTAACGATACTGCTATTAAACTACATTACCCTATGTGTTTACCTGCATGAGGCTGCATGATAAAACTGAACAGTTGTTAAACAAATTTCATTAGAAAGACGAAATATTTAGATCGTTATGTAATCAAAAGCCGTTCATGGTACATTACACACCAAATTATTTTTATGTTATGTCTTTAATTTTTTAAGTAATACTAAAGATTTATAAATAGGTTAAAACGTCAAAAAACGATACCCTACACCAGACCCAAAAGCCGAAAGAGCATACCCTATAGGGCGGCACATAACCCGTATAGCAAAATAGGGGAGTACCCCGCCCCCCCCTCCCCCGGGGATCATGGGAAGCAGTTCATATGATATAAGCAGAAGCGTAGATCAAGAGAGAAGCAAGCTWAGAARCATGATGCAAATYAGTGTAAGATATGAATATGGTAGCCAGCCAATCAGCGCGCACATTAAAACAATAACTGCATGGTAAAAGAACAATTTATATTACAAACTTATCAGGATAAAAACCGTCCTTTGGTCGTACTTTCTTCGTAACTGAGTCGTAAATCCGTCGGGTCCTCACTTTCTGACTTTTTATTATTTTTTGTAGGCTCTTGTTTCACGGACTCCAACACAGACAGAATGTTCACAGAAGTACTGATTCTCCTGTGCACAGTGCTTCTAGTGGTCTACGCGGTCACGTGGGTGCGCTTCTCGCGTGGTTACCCCCCAGGGCCTCCTCGTWTCCCAGTGATTGGAAGTCTCCTAAGCCTTCGAGATTCAAACTCACTCTTGCACAAAACCATCACAAGAATGAGCAAGACTTATGGCGACATGTTTACTTTGTATCTGCCAAGTCAACCCACTATTGTGATCAACACGTTCAGTGTYGCCCGCGAAGCACTGGTCACCCAAAAAGATACTTTTTCTGGCAGGCCGTATTTGTTTGTTCARGATTTTTTCTCCCGCGGAGGCAAGGGACTAGGCTTCAATGACTTCACCCCTGCTATGGTCCTTGCTCGTAAAATGGTACATTCAGCTTTGCGCATTTATCAGCCTTACTTAGAGGACAAAATAAAGGAGGAAGGAATGGCAATCATGGAGAGATTCAAAAACTATGAAAACCAGCCATTTGACCCCAAAAACGATTTCTCTTTCGTCATCGCAAATGTCGTGTTTTCAATCATATATGGAATACGCTTTGATTTGGATGACGAAGAACTGCATGAGAGCGTGAGGTACAACAACATGGGAGCCGAAGTACTGGGACCCGTCAGTATCCTCAATGTCTTTCCATGGCTTATCAATTTTCCGATTCGCCAAACTAGAATCTTGAAGGAGATCATGGACCAYCGCACCCGAGTCAAGGACGCGCGCTATTATAAACTAAAAGAGACGTTTCAAGAAAATCAGACCCGTCATTTGACGGATGCTTTACTGCAGGCGAAACTCGAGGAAGAAAGAGATGACAAGAATTCTCTCACGCACATGACAGATGATCATATTATGGCCATACTTGACGCAGTTTTCGGCGCAGGGGCTGAAACAACAGCCACGGCACTACGCTGGGAGTTGGCYTACCTGCTCAACTATCCCGACGTCCAAGAACAAATCTATGAGGAAATCAAAGACGTCTTTGGCAGTGATGGAAAAATTGAGCTCAAGAAGAGAAGGAATTGTCACTTCCTGGAAGCGTTTATGACCGAGGTTTTRCGCTGTGCTTCTATTGGGCCTCTCTTTGCTCACAAGAGCACCTGCGACACTGTACTGTGTGGTTACCGTATTCCTAAGAACACCACAATACTTCTAAATATATGGGCCATCAACCATGACCCAAAAGAATGGGAGAACCCCTACGAGTTCAAGCCGTCCAGATTCCTAGACTCCAAAGGAGAGTTCACTGGAACACAGAAAATGAGTTATCTGCCCTTTGGTGCTGGGCGCCGCTCTTGTGTTGGAGAAGCTTTGGCGAAGAAAGAATTGTTTCTCATGTCGGCCATTTTGTTCCAGAAGTTCAAATTTGAGAATCCAGAAGGCAGTCCTCTTCCAGATATTCACGACGGTACATTGGGTATTGCGTATGCACCAAAACCTTTCAAGGTTGTCGCAAGGGCAAGAGATGTGTAACTAAAATTAAAGATGCAGAACTGTTTTTTTTAGTGAGAAAAATAAGCCGAACTATAGCCATATTGTAAGACATAAACAATGCTTTTTACTATTTTTTTTTCCACTATGACTACTACATATTRTCGTTGCGCATTTCAATCGCATTATACTTTCACCATGTTTACTATAGCTGTATTTACACCCGCTAGAGCGCTAGTGCACCGCACGAAAGCAATGGACCATGTAGCCATTGGGCATTTCAATCGCATCATACGTTCACCATTTTTACTGTGAGCTGTAACACAGCCGCTATTTAGAGAACTGCTAGTGAACTCACGAATACGATGGGAAGCCATTTCAGGGATACGGCATGACGTCCTTGTATGCTCTGTAAGTCGACGTTTCACAGTCGTATGATAAGCGTCGGCTTTATTCTACGTATATTCTCTAGTAAAATAGTAATTTTATAGAAAATAGAAACACAATTACTATACAGCGCACAAACATAAGGGAAACACTTTGTCCTCACTAAGCTTACGCTATCAGCTTGAAAGAGAAAAAACAAACAAAAGTTTTTCAACGAAGATTTAATCTTGATTTTTGAATGCCAATTATAGAATAGTTAAAATGATTAGATATTTACTTCCCATCAAAAATAAGTTAGTGCGTTTCTCGTCACCACTTGTATCGATCAGGTAAGTTGAGCAAGAATTCTTCCTCTTCTTTTGYGTTTGTTCTTCCAAGGACTCTATTCCTCTGTGGGTATCGGCCAAATCTATCAATAACTTCCTAATTATTAAGATAAAAAAGTGAAGAAAAAGTGAAACACGAAAAGACCTGAAATGATTWTCTCAGGATTCCTTGATTTCATTACACGACATTTTTTTCATCTTGTGGGGAATGTTTATCTTCCAAATCGCAAGTTTTCGATAGAGGCTTTACGYTGGCATTTTTACATGATGGAAGCCATGACAGGAGACAGGAACKATTGAATTTGGTCAAATCTGATCAACATGAAAAATAATTTAGTTTCTCAGGGGAAAAAAGGACTATTTTAATGCCTCCTGGCATGTMTATCCTGAATTCTATCCTGCTAATAGCACATGGTGTCAGAGTTAGACCACCGTTTGGTGCAGATCATGAGATTCAAAAGCCAGCAATTGCTTACCATCCAAATAAACATGCATATTTGACTAGCCACCGATGGCATTTTCAGATTATGACCATGTCTCCAAATTTTTGGTCAATTTTGGACTCCCAATGCATGGCTATAACGTTTGCAAAAATTGGGGTACTTGCATGATGTCCTTTTCCTACGACTACCAGAATGCCTCGCTAATTTTCGTTAATATTAAAAGCTTTATTACCTCATGACAATAGTAAGGCAATTGGACSTTTTTCATTTCCACGGGCATCAGGTCTTTCCATTTCAGACCATGACACCTGTCATTCCCTAGAGTATCATTTCTTTGTTTAATAATAAATTGCACAGGAGAAGACACATAAATATGGACACCACTGAAATAAATAATCTTATTCTCAAGAGAATGACAYGTGGTCCRAAATGGAAAAACATTACTTCCAAGTGCAGTCAGGAAAGTATTCATAAGWTTATAGTATACACTTAATTGAAGAATTGTTGTCGGGTTCAGAAACACATGGGAAATGACATAATAATATTATAATTCATTCATTTGCRCCTTCCATGCTGTCGGTTTAGAATGCCAAACGCGTATTAAAAACAGTGGATGATGCCACGGRTCGCCGGTCACAGCATGCATCTAATTAACATACTTCCCATGTGCCATTTTGGTTGCATGTTCTATGTTTCTGAACCCGACAACGATTCTTCAATAGTCCCCTTCACAGTTCCCTGTGCCATCTTGAAAGGTAGCTGAGTCTTTGCATCGAAGCGAGACGAACGGTGAGCTTGCAATGATAGGGAGCTTTTTTTAACACCTTGGACAATAATTCACATCTCTATCATTGCAAGCTCACCGTTTGTCTCGCTTCAATGCAAAGGCACGGCTACCTTTCATGATGGCGCAGGGAACTGTGAAGGGGGATATTGAGTGTATGATACTATAAATTATGTCAACACCCTGATAGTCTAATAGAAAGTACCTTATGTCTTTTGGCA